CAAAATGTTACTTTCCCGTCTAACAAAGCTAAGTAATTTTTTCCAAAGCAATAAGGATGAAAGTATAATTTCATTTTTTTTCAGTAGATGCTATGCCAACTTATGACCATTGTTGACCATCATATGCTTAAATCACTTCTTTAACAAAGAATAAAAAGTATAATTGGAGAATTTATAATAAAAAAAAACCTTTGTATCGTCACAACATATCGTCACTAATAACATCCATTCATGGATATAATCAATCCAGCAAGGTTTTGTACCTTTTTATTTCACATTAATTGTTAAACTAAGTGAACAACAGATTTAGGAATAAGAATGTATCTAGAAATACTCTTTTGCAAGAGGGTTTTTTTCTCTCTTTAATCCACTGCCACTTAAATACAATATCCATATAGAAAGCATTCTAGTGAAGGTATAAGAATAGGAAAACAACTAATTTACCCTTATGCTTTTCTAGATCTGGGATGGATTTGGAGTGGGCTGGTTATGATGAAATACAATAGAAAAATAACTAATTTATGATGCTTTTTAAGACACCCTTTTTTTATGGAGGTGTCATGTTATTTGAGCCCCAATAAAAATTTCAAATAATATGCTAACTTGTCGCTTGGGTTCTAAATTTAGTCCCAAAATTTGATCAGTGTATCATTATTATTTTTTATGTGAGGATCGATCGTTCAACCAATTCAGATTCAAATAAAGTATAAGAAGCCCAAGACAATTAAAGTCCCACCACAATTAAACATGAGAATTAAAGATGCTTGAAGATCAGAATCGTTATCGGCCTACAAATCTTCTAACAACTACATAATATATCAATCTATAAAAGAAAAATCCCTTTTCAAGGTTAAGGTGTTCAAGAAGTAACTTTTCAGTAATGAACGTAAGAGTGCATATAAGAGTTGATATTTTTCTATCATGCTAAACTATATAGAATCTAACTTAACATTGGAGAGCATTAGGCCAGCACCCAAGACTGTCGAAGACCATTTTTTAGCATCAAAACTCTTCAAATAAGCCATCTCCATATTTACACGAACCTTAATTTAATCGGGATCACCATATAAGGCTTTTTTTTCTTATCTGTCATAAATAAAACTTGCTAACAGTTTTTTTTTTTCAATTGATAAATATTTTTGGGTTAATAGTATTTTTAGCTCTAAAATATGTATTTTTTTTTATCAGTTTCGTCCTCATTGTATCAATTTTGTCAATTTGATGTTTAAAATATTCAATTTGTATTATTTTGATTCCTAAATAAAAAAAATGATTACATGTTGAGTACGTGATACCGTCTAAAAAAAAATGACATGTAATCCCTTTTATCAAAAAGATGAATTGATTAATTGTCAACCGTTGATATGCAATTACTCTACCCCTTTTTTTTTTTCATTGCGCTTTTGCTATTAATCATAAACGTTATCAGTATCTGTCATATCAATGATAATAGGAAGTTGGGCGGTTAAGGATTAGCCGATTTCACTCTATGCCCTACAGACGAGCATCCAGATTAAGACTAGTAGCCAATTCATAACACAGGCTAGTTGATGGAATCTTATCATCAAGCTGCTGAATCAATCATTGGCATACAATGGTAAAGTTGTGCGAGACTTTGTAACAAGAGAATTGGGTCTAATCAGTTTGATTTATAAAAATAATGTCTGCCCAGGAAGGTTAAAGATGTGTGTATTTGACTTCTCTTAAATCACGGACAGTGAGAGTCTCCTGTATTAGCTGACATTCCGTCTTGAAAAAAAGAATTTGGGTATTCAATATTCTTGTGTACTCTTTAGATCAAAGTGTATTTATTAAGTTGTCGTACATAATGCGCAAGGAAATATGTGAGATGGGGCTTGGGAAACATTTATAACTGAGATCTAATGGTAACTCACTAAGAAATATGGGGAACACTGTCTTAGTTGCAACGCAAGTCTCAGGTGTATAGCTATTAACTGCATGTAGACTTGAATCAATGAATTTTTGATATAATGATACTTATTACCTTGTAAACGTTTTCTTAAGATTAAGGTTCAAACATCTTCCCCCCTCCCCTCCCCCACAAAAAAAAAATGTAGACTTGAGCATGAATTGTATGCAACTTATGAGACTCGAACTCAATGGTGTGGATTTTTCCCTCGTCCTTTGTTTGATTACTGAATTGAAAAAATCCGTACAGGTTTTTAGTTTCACTTAATGATAATGGTTATTTGGAAACCAGAAAAAGAAAAAAAAATATTTTGGTTTTCATAGGGAGGAAACTTTCCTCAGATGAACTCCCAAGTCCTTTTCTAGGAAGTATGAATCTCATGATGAGCTACTCACCACTGGACCCACGCACAAAGAGAGAAAGCTAAAGCCAACACAGTCCCTTGGTTCATAACCCCTCAGTGAAAGTGAAGGCTCATTTCAAGGCAGTCTATTCTTCTTTGATTTATGCAGATTTTCTGCTTCTACTGGTGTGACTTTTGACGTTTGGGATAGAATAATAGTCTTCATGTTCATATGAAAAGGGGCAATTCGAAGTACAGCTTGTGGAAGACAAGCACTTCAGAGATGATATATGAAAGTGATATCTAGAGAAATTATAAGGCTCAGAGTGCATGACACATAAATTTTCAGGTTTACACACTTTTTTCCTTTTCTTTGGTTGAATATTGGCACAAACTATGACAAAAATAGTGGTTTATAAGTCCTCCTAATCGCAGACATCACCAGTAGCGGATGAGCGCTTGTAATCGTCTATAGTGGGCTTTGAAATAAAAAGTGGTAAACAACGTTGTCCCGTTTTGTCAAGACTGATTCCGGACACATCACCATATCTTTGATATAATATATTCATGTACCAATCCACCATTTATGACCAATGCTCTTGAATCTGCACCTTGCTTAATATACATATCCATGAAATAGAGGTTCAGAATGTAAGCACAAAGATCCATATGAAGCCTAATTGCAGTGCTATGAGCCTCTGCACTGTCGAATACTGACATGAAGGAAAGTGAGCAGTGACCCAATGGCTCCGCAGCCCGCAGTTGGATCGATAAGTAGTTGGTTCGAACTTCACCAACCCCTCCCTTATAAACTTTGCAATAGTGACAAAAAAAAAAAAAAAGTGTACAGACATGAAGGAAACTGAATATGCTATAAAGTCAACATATTCACAATAATATCTCATTCTGATCTTTTAATATCTTAGTCTGTTTGACAATGCCAATGGCTAACCTTTCATTTATTTTTATGAGATTTGGACTAACAAATTAATGGATTCTGTAACTCCTTTTGCTTCGTTTAATGTCAAACATAAAAAAATCGATCTAATACCTTGCCTTAATGATATGTTAAGTGATATAACCTAATGAAGAAATTTAATAAGTTACAGTTAAATAAGATTATTAGACCATGACATATAACATATCATTAGATCAAGAAATTTGGTCATATCTTTAAATCCAAATAGAAATACTGGTATTTACTTCCAAACAGCTTACATGGAGAGAATAAAGTTGGTTTGTTCAAGGTAAGCCTTGTAATTCATTGTGTTCAAAATAATAATAATAACAACAATGATTTAAAAATTGATTTTTGGATGGTCTCTCAGTGCATGAGAAGGAGGAAAAGGGCAATAGTGTAGACTGAAGAATGGGTGACATCCCCACAACCATGATATTATTATCAGATGCAGTGTCATAGTCCTCTTTTTTAGTGTACCTTCCATTTATTACCTTTGTCTTTTGCCTTCATTCCTTCTCCATCCACCAAATGCTCTTTGCATCCTTTTCCTTCTCCTCCCATTATCTTTTCCTTCTGAATTTGCAAGAGCTGGCTCTAGATCTCTCTCTCTCTCTCTCTCTCTTTCCTCCAATTAGGGCTTCCTCAGTAAGCACTCACAACCAGTACTAAATCTGTGGACTACACTTCTTTCATTGGCTACAGTATAACTTTCTTTAAAAAGAAAAGAGCAGCTCAAGAAACAGCTCCACAAGGATAAAGGTACCTCTCTTTTTGTTCATCTGATCCAAGCAACCTATCACAGACAGGTAATTAATTCACAATGCTTCTTTATGCTATTTTTCTCTTTCAGTTTTTTGTTTCTCTGGGAAGGGTAAAGATTGCAGTGATGGTTTTTTACTCTCAGTTATGGTCAGTGATTTAGGGTTTCCCTGTGTGTGGATTTGATCTGTAAAACAACAGATGTTCATGCAATCTTACCACAATTGTGAAAAAATAATTGTGGGTAGTTGCACCAGTCAGATCCCATGTTCAACTGATTTCCAAAGTAAATCATTACTGTGAAAGAATAGCTGATGCAACTGAATTCTTCCAAATCTGACAGTCTGAACCTGTGGGGGAGAGAGAGAGAGAGAGAGAGAAGACAAAATTAAAAACCAAACCAAAGAAGATATGAAAAGCTCCTTGGTGAACTGTGAGTGTGATAATTCATCAAGGAAAAAAGAAGGAAAGACGAAAACCAGAAAGTAGTTTTGTAACAAAAAAGTGACAATTGATCTCCAGAATCAAGCATGCATGTGTGGCTGAATTTTATGTGTTTGTTGTGAGTAGGGGAGAGAGAGAGAGAGATAGATCAGGGGTAGTGAGTATAGACTATAGGAGCTCTATAAATCTTTTATCTTTTTTTCTGAAAATTTGGTTACCAAGATTGGTTCTAGCCTTCTGGATTAGTTGTCCTTTCACTGGAAATTTCCTGAGATAATTATACTTCATACACAGAAGTTATGATCGATGACTCTAAAAAACAAATAAAACAGAAGAATAGACAAAAATAATAAACAGACCGAAGAAGGAACAAAGGAGGAGGGGGAGGAGAAGAAGAATAGATTTTTAGCAAGAACAAGCTTGGCTTGGTATGGTTAACACTGAAAAGAGGGAATCAGTGAAAGCAGATTATGTTATCCAAATTGTGAAAATTCATCTATCTTACGAAAAAAAGTCCAATGGTTTTACTTGTGCCTTGTGTTCTCTTGCTAGTACAGATAAAAATGGCTTCATCATCAAGCGCATACAACTCACCCTGTGCTGCCTGCAAGTTCTTGAGGAGAAAATGTATGCCAGGTTGCGTCTTTGCACCATACTTCCCACCAGAGGAGCCTCAGAAATTCGCCAATGTCCACAAGATCTTCGGTGCCAGCAATGTCACCAAGCTCCTCAATGAGATTCTCCCTCATCAAAGAGAAGATGCAGTGAACTCTCTCGCCTATGAAGCCGAGGCACGAGTGAGAGATCCAGTCTACGGATGTGTTGGTGCCATCTCTTTCCTCCAAAGACAGGTTGAGAGGCTTCAGAAAGAGCTTGACGCCGCAAACGCCGACTTGATGCGCTTTGCCTGCAGTGAGATCCCCACGGCGTTACCTGCACCACAGGGAGTGATGAGTTCAGTTCATCATCATCCTATGGGTCCCCGTCCGAGGCCGGTTGAACTCAACAGAAGAATGGGCAATGAAGGTGGAGGTTTTTATCAAACACCTAGTGCTTTCCCCTTTACTTATTCGCTTCCATGGAGCGATAACCCTTCTGGGGATAGTCATGGAGGAGGTGGAGAAGGGAAGTTTTGAATTTGGAGAACACTCACAAGTCACAAGACTCACAACCCCTGTAGGGTTGTGTCTCTCAACGGAAAATGACCAGAAGAAGAGTTTTGGTATGCTATTCTGTTTGGGTTATGGTTTCTAGCTAGTCTCACTTGGACTCTTCTAGCTAGACCACTAAGTCCTACTATTCTTGAAGAAAATTGTTTGTTGGTTTTAGCAATTCTGCTGCTAAAACCCAGAACTTAAGTACTTCATGAGTTTTAAGCTGTGAATACTTGATCTTATGTCATTACATTTGTGCAACCTTAGAGAATGCTCATGTGAAGTATCCAAAAATTAATCTCTGGGATTGTTTATGCTTGGGAATAAAAGCATGCAGTTGTTCAATAAGTTAATTGTAAAGAGGATTCTCTAGCCTAATGTCTACTACGGCTTAGTCCACCCTTTTATATTCTCACTTTGCGTTTCTGCTTTGTTCTCAAGGTCCACCATTTACTTCCTTGGCCCAATTCATTAAGTTATTTCAAATTCCTGATGCTAGCACAGCACAATAGGATTGTTTTGTTGTGAGTTGGGATGTTTAGAGTTTGAGCCGTAAAAATAGTAAAATTTTCTACATTTTATCCTTCTTAAACCCTAGAATAAACCTGATGGAAACCCGAATGATCCCCTCGGTTTGGTTTTGTTTTGATTGACATCATGTACTCACTGGTATAGTGTTTTCAGAGCTCTTTTATCATAGAATTCTTAGGGAAGTATCGGCTCAAAGTATTTACTTCCTTCAGAATTTTAAATAGGTGATATCTATTGTATTTTGTAAGGGTATTACCTTGACACATGTATATGTATACTTTTTGATGAATAGAATTTTTTGTTGACTTGCTGTAAAAAAAAAAAAAAAAACCTAGAATAAAGAGAATCTAGTACACAAGGTCGCAAAATAAACCTTTAGTTCCCCAAAACCACATAAAAGACATTTTCCCAAAAAAAAACCCACATAAAAGACATCCCAAGTCAGCTCTAAATCCAGTAAAGCACAATACCCATTCTCATTAGTGTAATGGCCCTTAGTCTAAAGAAAGCAAGTTGATGAGTCAGGAAAACAGTACTGGAGTAAACTGCTTGTCAAAGTCTTCATACGGATCAATAGGAAAAAGAAAGAGCAGTGCAGCTTAGAACTTAGAAGCATTGCGTGTTTGAAGTCAAATCTCTTTCAAATTATTCATCTTTCACTTTTGAATGTTTGTTTCTTGTACAGAAAAGGGTAAGACTCTGAGTCTGTTATCTGATTTTGGCTTGTGAATCTCAGCTTTTCTTCACAATTCTATACTTGCTTTTGTATAGAATAGTAAGCAACAGTTCGTGAGTCATTACTTTCATTGGATCCAGAAAGAAGGTGTTTTTCCCGTGGTACTATTATCATCCCAATACTTCCCAGACGAAACAGTTGCTTCCTCTCTCTCTCTCTCACACACACAAAATTTGGGTTTTTAATGTGTTTAGACAAATTTTTCGTCTCACATTTTTTGTGTATGAATTGTTTGGAAAATTAATGTGTATTAAATTACAGATGGCACATGTGCATCAAGACAGCAAGACATAATGGACTGTAACTTCAAAAGCATTAGGGTTAGGGTTTTGATTCAGTCTAGAAGAACATATCACTATTTTTTTTTTTTACCCTGAAACTCATTACAAGAAGAAGAAACAAACAAAGCAGCCACATGTATTTTTCTGGTTTTTAACACCATGCATTTCACTCATGTAACGTTTCCGTGTATGTGAGGAAGCTCTTCCTCTTACATGACACACGTAGCACACGAACACATTCAGATAGAGAGAGAGAGAGAGAGAGATGATGACTGAGTCTTTCAGTTTCTTGTTTTCTTGATCTGTTTAATTCATTCTTTCTGGTCCGAATTTAAAACCCAGACGGCTACATTCATACGTTGTTTCTGTGTACAAGAACACATCTTGAGTTAAGATTAGTACTCATTATCAAGCCAAGTTTATGGAGTTAGTTTAATTCTAATTTAGCGAAATTTATCGAACTCTTTTTTATTAAATAAGTTTAAAAAGTTATTCAAATTCAGCTCAACTATCTTACATAGTAACAAGGTTAACCGAACCTAAGTAACTCAACTATCTTACATATAAACAAGGTGAACTTTGCAAGATTGAGTTGTGTTTTTTAGACTCGTTTTCTAAATAAGTATAAAAATTATTCAAATTTAAATCATTTAAGACATGAACCAAACTCGAGTTGAGTTCTATCCGAACCGAACTCATCGACTCAATTATTAGCCGTAAATAAGATCATCTATTCGAGTTACTATCTCAATTCAACTTGTAATATCCCAATTAATGTAATAAGACCATCTGTGAATGTGAACACATTCAAGTGAACACAGTACACTTTGAATACACCTACTGTTGTGTGGGATCAAACTTTTTGAGTACTTTTCACCTAAATGTGCTTTAAACTTTATATCTTTATTTTTCAAATTAATGAAAATTTTGATCTTCCGAAAAAAAATATATCAACTCACTTTCTCTCCTATGAATGCAGTCAAGAATTAGAGCAAAAGAATTTGATTTCCTCAAATTGTTTTGGCTGAATTAGTACATCAAAGAGAAAAATGTTCACAGGAAAAACGGGAATAAGAAGGGAATAGATACAATTGAAAAATAATATAATTTATGGATCTTATCATACCGATGAAAATATCAATAAGTTTAAACTACTCTAAGTCACCAAGATAAGGTAATAATCAAAAGAAAAAGTTAGATTATAGAACCCGGTTCGAAGTACGCTATGAAAGACACTCACTTTAGGGTAGAATACTCTCCCATCCTGGTGCAAATAATCACTGACGTCCTCCTCTCACGATACAACGAACGAAACAATAACTCTCGACGTGCTCTCAAACAAGAAATCCAAAATAAACCCTTAAAATGAAAATTTTTTGGATACTCAAAAGACTCAAGATTTTACTCACAAGAAGAAACAAGTTCAAGAAAAGATATACCTAACAAAGCCAAATTAAAACCAATTTTATCTCTAAAATATTTCACACAAAATTAGAAAAAAAAAATTCATAATTTTCTATACCCAAAACACGTCATTTGTATTAATTAATTGTGTAATTTCAAGGGAATAAAATTGACACCTCTCAGATAAACCCGGGTTAATGCAATGTATGCAATAGGCATACTAAGATAAACCCCGGTTAATGCATAAGGGTACTATCTGTTTCACTCTACAAAACGATACTTCCATCCTTTTTATCATGAGATCAAAAAAATCCTTTTTATCATGAAATAGGAGCCTTCCACAATAAATCATTCGTAACTATTGACTTGATAGTAGGCTCTAATATTTGTTACAACTAATTATTAATTTAATAATTGTGATTAATTAAGTTAATAAATTAAATCTAAATAACATTAATGATTGATTTTTGCACAGTTAGATCTATATATACAGTTGTATCAGAAGGTCCTTAAAGTATGGCTGTTCTGAGTTTTTGTTGGGTTTTACAGAGCAGCAAGGAGGGGAACAGTAGTATTTCAGAATCCATCAAACATCAATCTTCTGTTAGACGTGGAAAAGAAGCAAAGAGCAGGTCATAAATGTCAGGTTTGTAGAGACTTTATTAGGAAAAAGGATGTGCAGGTGGGTCTGTTTATGCCCCCACCAGAAATTCTTATGTTCCTCTTTGATTTTGAATGTATCAGATGAAATGAAATGACTCACGATTTGTTTCTTTGTAAGTTGGATGTTTTTGATGTCCAAATCTCTCTCTCTCTCACACACACACACGCACACACATGGTCGCAAGCAAGCAGCCTTAAGGGTCAAAACCTGCACCTAAAAGAACGCCATGGCACAACTATATTGAAGGAAGGTAGGAATTTTTTTTTTAAGTAATTACTATTGATGGTCAAATTAAATATTTTAAAATTGAATTTAGAACTATGTGTATGATCGATTACAACAGTCTATGATCGATTACACGATCATAGAACATTGTGAGTAATAGATTATAAATAACTTCAATCAATTGTAACTTTACATCTAAAAATTATTATTTACTTTAAAAGTCATATTTTTTATGATTGATCACAATATTTTATATTCGATCATAGTTTTTTAAATTATAATTTAGACAACCAAAAGATTATAACTTGACTTTAAAACCTTGTAATTTTCGGTATGTTACCTCTTTTGGTACTATAGACTTTCCCTAAATCAAAATGGAAAAACCAGAAGGTAGCTTTTTGGATTTCCCAAATTGAAAATAGACAGCAAGCACTTCATTTTACAAACACCACCTTACAAATTAATTATCTCTTATCTCTTAGGATGTTTAATCCTAATTGTGCGATAAAGCATAGCGGGTCTAATATAGAAACCAAGTATTTGAACACGATTTGTAATACTATAAATTATTTGCTTGATTGCGATTAATCCAAAGAAAATTGAAGTATACAATTCCAAAAATTACAATAAAAATATACAATTCTTAACAATATATATGACTTATCTGAAATCAGTATGAACCCTCGAACTAGCTACTTGACCTTGCATACTGATCCTATGGTTGTTTGATGTCATCCCTAACTTAATGCTCTGTTTGGTATGATGGAAAAATGAAATGATGAAAAGTTGAACGGATAAAAAGTTGGAGAGAAAAATAAAATATAATGTTTGGTAAGAAAGGAAAGTAGGAAGAATGGAAAAGTGGATGGATTAACTTTCTTTCCAACTCACTAAAATCAATCCCCCCAAAATCAGAAGGAAAGTGTATGCAAAGTTAATTATTTGTGTTAAGATGTATCTTATTTATCTATATATATTATGTATACATTAATTTTATATAAAAATATAATGATAAAATATGTATATATATATATATTTAAAAAAATATTAAATTAAAAAAAATTCATTTTAACTAGGAATGAAAATTTTTCACTCAACACGATGAGACGACTAGAATTCGACACAAATTTTATGAGCCGAACTTGATTATAACTCGACACGAACTTAAAAATGACCTGATACGCAAACAAAAAATATAAAAGGCTCATAATTTTAAAACTCAACATAAATCTGACACGACACGACTCGATTGTCAACCCTAATCTTATCCATCACAAAAAAAAATTAATCATTTTTATTTTTTATTCATCCAACCAAACACAAAAGAAAGAAAATGTATCATTCCTACTTTCTATCCTTGAAAGATAAAAAGTTTATCCTTTCTATTTTCCATCTTTCTTACTTTTCATCATTCCTACCAAACTAGGGGTGTCAATTTTTGACTCGAACACGAATCCGACTCGAACCCAACCCTACACGAACTCGAAAAAAACACGTTTCGTGAACACGAGTAATAAATGGGTTAAATTAAGGTTCGACACGAATAACACGATTAATAGGTACTGTAGATAAAAAATAATTATTTAATGAGTATTTTAGATAGAAAATAAGAATTTTATAATTTTTTAAATAGTATTATATTAGTTGTTGTCAAATTAAATAATTTTTTATTGACACGACTCGGACACGTACCGAAAGTGATACGACACGAAAATAACACGACCAAAAGTGACACGACACGAAACTGATACGAGACGACACGATTAACACCCCTATACCAAACAGAGCATAAGGGTCCAAAGAATCCACTAGAGGTGAGCTTTTCAAATATTTCATCTTATGAAAATAAAAAGCTTATAGATAATAGTAATTAACAAAAAGAGCACATGCTATGAGCAAGTTTTTTTTTTTGGTATTGCGATTAATGATGTCCAAATCAATTTATGTACATCTCGACAAATGTTCTTCCCAGTCTGATCAAGTGTAAGTCATTTAAGCCGAGATTAGAAAATTCATGAAAGATACCAAATTTTAAACTCAAGACGTTTGAGTTTACAACTTATTTCTGTCTCTACTGAACTACCTTTTGTAACAACTAAAAATGGCCCAAAAATTGAATAAACTTAAACAAATCAGAGTTACATAAATTTATGTTCAGTTACATTACAATATTTGGCTAGTATATGATTCAATCATTTGCGATCAACAAGCGCATGATGCCCAAATCTAGTAATATGTTTTCTTAGATTTGTATAGAAAAAAGTATACTATCTTAGCATGTTCTTTATGTAGAAACTCATTTTCTTTTTTTGATAAGACACTATTATAATGGAAAGGACGATGAATTTCGAACTCACGATCTTAAAGTTTAAAAACGAGGTGATGGTTATTAGTTCGGCTGCTAACCTTATCTAGAAACTCAATTAATTAGGGAACATGGATATCTAAACCCAATTAGGGTTTTTAATACACCTAGGTTCCAATAGGCCTTGAGTCAGACCACATGCATTGCCTCTAAAGATGGCTTATGTGGCTAAAAACCACTGATTCCATTAATATTTTTTGGGTATTCTACAAAAGATGGCTCTTTTCCTTTAAAATTACAGGCTTTTTTTTATAATACCGAAAGTAGTTCTTTTGGATGATTGACAATGATGGTGGCCATGATGATCACCATCACTGTGAGAATAAAGAAACACAAGATTATGGGCTAAGAATTGCACTTTATTGATACCCAATTTTGTTATTGGGTTACATACCAACTTGTTATGGGGCAGAAATGAATCACTAATCCTAAAGAAAATATTAGTATATTGCTAGAATAGGTGACTTATATTCAATATATGAAGAGATATACCAAGTTTGAATATAATGAGTCGCACATGTCTTCGGGATTTGCTCTAATTAGGGTTGTAACCTATATATATTAAGTTGTAACCTTATGTCAGTGTAGAATAAAAAATAAGGCAACCGCTCTCTTGTGGACGTAAGCAGGTTACTGAGCCACGTAAAATTCTTGTTTTTATCTTCTAATTTCTTTTGTTTCTTTAAGTTCATCACACAAAATTACAACACATATACCGTTGTTCTAAAATATATTGCCAAGAGTCATGTTAGTTTGGGTTGCATGTTACCCTTATTACGATCCATCAACTTGACACAAAATGGAAACAAAGTTATTGATATAAGTTTAGCCTCTAAGGATGTAGATCATGATCGGGTTGTTCTAGTAGACCCATTTAATAAATTGATCTTATATGGGTCGTGCTAATTTTAAAACACCACTACTTGCACGATTTAAACACCCGGGCGATAGTCCTCAACCTTTGTGCATTGTACTCAGTCATGCTTGAAGGAAAAGAACTTCATTAATGAAGTTAAGCAATTACTCTTACTATTAAGATTCTAATGCAAATTAGTTCTCTTGTGGTAAAGTGAGTAGATAACTTCACTTTACCCGCCGAAGTAGGGTGGTCTAGTGGGGCACCGGTCGGACTTCTCAGCTTTAGAGATTTGAGTATGTGAATTCATATTAGAATTCGATGGTTGACCACTATACTAGCCTAGTTAGGTTTGTTGCCGAGAAGAAAAATGGACGCAATCAAGAGCCTTATGATCTCACTAATAAAAACTTATCGAAATAGTCTCTGAGTGCTCTCCTTTACATCCACCTATTTTTCAATAGCAATAAACAAACACAAAAAATAAATAAGAATGGGCAACTTCAATCACAGTTAACGTAGTTCAGGCTAGGCTTGGACTATCTGGCGTAATCCTTTAGCCCATTGGGCCGTTATAAGGTTGGGAATTGGTTTAGGGCTTCACAGAACAGAGCATCAAACGAAACTATGCTCTAGTATGGCCCAACTACTGGCAAAAGTTAATGTATGATTGAGTCTACGATACTACAGTCCAACTTAATTAATTGTAGTTTCTCTTTGATCTGTACAATCAAAAGAATCAAAAACTTCATAAGATATTTTTTTATTTTTGACCAGAAAACTTATGTAATGAAAAAATATGATAAAAAAAATAGGAGTGTTTATTTCTGACCTAAAACATCTGACTATACTATACGGTGTAAAGAAACTATAATAATTTCTAAAATAAATTAAAAAATGACTATTGAGAAATAACGTTTAGACTCTTGAAATTTAAAAATTGAAACTTTTAACGAGGAATTTGTTACAAAAATATTAATAAAATAATTTTTTGTGTTGCGTAAATTTCAGAAACTCATATCTCCTTCACTCTTGTCCACTCCTACGCACACGAAAGTCTAAATGCTCAGTCAACTCAATTATTAAGTAGTACTTATATAGCATATAAACTCAAAAAATTTTAGTAATTTAATTGATGTATGATTGAGTTTCCCCCATAAAATAATTTTTTTTTTTAAAAAGTACTCTTTTTTTTTAATTAAAATACTCTAACAATACATAGGATATCTATCAAATGACACTGAATGAGACCTAATTGATATTATTATCCTAAAACATCAGGGTATCCTATAGGCTATATATATATATATATATATATATATATATATAGAGAGAGAGAGAGAGAGAGAGAGAGAGAGTTTTCATTGTTTTTCAACTAAGTATCGTACATTAATTTTTTGTGTCTATATGAGAGATTGGCAGTAGGACAATAAATTTACACTTTATCTATATATTAATCCATACATATAATATAACTGGGATAAGGCAAGATGATAATAATATACACCATCTTGGATTATAATCACCTGTCTATCAAATACAAGAGCCGCTTGATCAGTTCATTTAATATGTTTCATGACCAAATACAATCCATTTTAGACTCAGAAATAAGAGAAGTTGAGACCATTTACAGCCGCATGTGGATTCAGATTCTCTTCATCATCCTATTTTTCCTTAATGAATTATCTTAAATCGTGTATAAATGAAAGACTCACTTATGAATAATGGGTCCAACTTATGTTAATGGAAGGTGATTTATATCAATGTAATTGAAAAAACTCTAATGAGTATAGGATCTCAATCCACCAGATGCAAGATGCAAGTCTATGTAACTGTCTATACCGTGATTCAAAGTATCGGTCGATATCAATACGAGTTGGTCGAATCGTATTCATCTCAGCACCTTCGAATACAATATCATTATACGATATGTATAAACCCTGAATCTCGTACAACTTGGCCAAATCGTTCAAGTTGTATTCGAATCGTCGAAATATCGTCACCGAATTAGACGATACAATTATACGACGCTGTGATATGACTTGAATTTCTCGTCATGTTTAACATTTTATTTTACATCGTATCGTCTGATAAAGCACTACGATCGATGTGTCTCAAAATTATTTGAGTTGATGGTCTATATCGCGACCTTGAACTATGATCTATGCCTCAGTTCACTTCAATTTACATTAGTTTCTCAAGAGGTAACCAAAGCACCAAACTATGATCAAGATTAAGGGCGTTAATCGAGATTAGTTACTTGAATTCTGTTCAAATAAGATTCAGTTTGAGTTCGATTTGTGTTTTAAAACGAATTGAATATGAACAATTTTTAAATTCGTCTTAAAAAAATAAATTTAACAAATTTTATCCCAAATTTACAAAATCCGACTCGATTAACATATCTGATAACGATGAAGTCTGCCGCAAACAAACCATCACAAAACAACAAAAAAAACAAGAGAAAAGTGGCAAACAGATTGAAAATCCAACGAAGTCATCATGTCTATAAAGATCAGTTTCTCATGCAAAACCTCAGCACTCCATCTCTTCAAAGTTCAAACAGGTGTCAACCCACATACCCACGTGTCCACACACCCCATCTCCTTAAATACATGCACACCTCCTCACCACCCTTAATCTCTTACGCTCTCTCTTCCCCAACAGTGTTAACAAACAACCCCAACAACCTCCCTCCATGGCGGAGCGCCACCAGCAGCAACAGCCAACTGAGGCCATCAAGAGCTATCTTCCGGTTCCGAAAAAAGGTGCTACTCCCACTTCAAAAATCCTCGCAATTATCACGCTCTTCCCCGTGGGCAGCGTCCTCCTATGCCTCGCCGGGCTCGTTCTCGTCGGCACCCTCATCGGCCTCGCAGTTGCCACACCTCTTTTCGTGATATTCAGCCCGATATTGGTCCCTGCGGCCCTCACAATCGCCGCGGCTGTCGCAGGGTTCTTGACCGCAGGGGCTTTCGGGATCACTGCAGTGTCTTCTCTCTCCTGGATGTTCAACTATTTCAGAAAAATGGGTGCAGCGCCGAAGCATATGGAGCAGGTAAGGAGGAAAGCGCAGGACACAGCGGGCCAGAAGGCTAGGGAAGCTGGCCTTAGGGCCCACGAAGCCGTGAAAACATGAATTGAATATGTGGGCTTTTGGGTCGTGGCCCATCTTGGGACATAAATGATCAGATCTGATTGAGAATGGGGTGTCTCATGCAATATGTAATGTAACATATTTTATTTTATTTATTTGTTTTTGTGGTTAACTTTGCTGCATATAATATAATAAGATGGCTGGGGCCTGTACTAGTAAATTGTGCAAACTTAGTTTTTTTTTTTCTTTTTCAGGGTATTCGGACCCGCTTATCTATATATATTAGTATTTTTGTTTATTCCTTTCTTTTATATCTCTTGTTGAGGTACCATTTTTATGTTTGAAAATAAAGTCTATAATTTCT